GTTTGAGACCAGCCTGGGCAACTTGGCAAGACCTCGTCTCTACAATAAATTTTTTAAAAAGGCTGGGCATGGTGGCTCACGCCTATAACCCCAACACTTTGGGAGGCTGAGGTGAGAGGATTGCCTGAACCCATGGGTTCAAGACCAGCCTGGGCTGAGGCAGAAGGATCACCTAAGCCTAGCAGGTTGAGGCTATGGTAGCCATGAGCATGCCACTGTACTCCAGCCTGGATGACAGAGTGACACAAACTCAAAAAAAACAAACAAATTAGCCAGCAGTAGTGGTACATGCCTGTGGTTCCAGCTACTTGGAAGGCTGAGGCTGAAAGATCGCCAGAGCCCAGCAGGTTGAGGCTGTGGTGGCCATGAGTGTGCCACTGCACTCCAGCCTGGGGGACGGAGTGAGACTCCCAACTCAAAAAGGAAAAAACAGGCTGGATGCAGTGGCTCACGTCTATAATCCCAGCACTTTGGGAGGCTGAGGTGAGAGGATTACCTGAGCTCAGGAATTCGAGACCAGCCTGGGCAACTTGGCAACACCTCATCTCTACAATAAATCAAAAAATTAGCTGGGCATGGTGGTGCGTGCCTCTAGTTCCAGCTACTTGGAAGGCTGAGGCGGAAGAATCACCTCAGCCCAGCAGGTCGAGGCTGCAGTGGCCATGAGCGTGCCACTGCACTCCAGCCTGGATGACAGAGTGAGACTTCAGCTCAAAACAAATAAATAAATAAAAACAAAAAAACTGCTGAACACTCACCGTGGTGTGGGTAAGTGCACGCGTAAATCACCCATCATGAAATGGGCAAACGCCTGAAAGAATCTCCCAAAAAAAATTCACTGAAGCATAACACAGCCTCACAACAGTGCTAGCTGGTGCACAGATGCCGATGGGTTCCTAGAAACTTACCTAGCAGGAGAAACCTGGACTACAAGGGCCCTACCCTCCCAAAGATAATTGTGGTTTCTTTGGGGGGGGGTCTCCCTTATACCTTGACCCCACACCATTTTAAGCACCTCTCCTGTGTTGCCTCACATACCCTGGTAAGGTGGGCATTGTTACTGTCCAAGGATGTTAAGGCATAGTGAGTGAAAGCACTTGCCCAAGGTCCCCATCTAGAAAGTGGGAGAAGCAGGAGTTCAATCCAGGTAAAAGCTCCACAGCCAGGCTTTCACGGCTCTGCCTCCTACAAAAAGTCTAATCCAGAACGCCATCCCAACAGGGCCGTTAGCTTGGGTTTCCTGATCCCTGTCACCCTGTATGACGCTGCAACCCTGATTGGATGCGCCCCTCTGAGCGGGAAAGAGTCTTGGCACCTTCGAGGTGAGTCAGTATGAAACACAGATTCATGCATCCTGACTTCAGAACCTCAGAAACCACACCAAGGGCAGTGCAGTCCAGAGCGGGGAAGGACTGTGTCCTTGGCGGGCTAGCAGGGGGAGGGTCAGCTCCTGGGGCTCTCGCTTTCAGGCCAGCCCTGGGACACCAGCCCTCCACGGTGCCAGCTTTCCATCCCAGGGCCCCAACTGCAGCAGCTGACCTCCAACACCAGAGCCGTTCTTGCCTCAGTTTCCCCACCTACAGGGTGCAGGATGGCCGTAAAGTCGAGAGGCAGACACGTGATTATTGTGTACTGTGCTATCAATAAGAATGTCCTGCATTTCCAGACTTGGGGTGATCCTGTATAAATGCTCACCTGCCTTCTCCTTCATGGGGATAAAAAGGGTGAGAGAATCCACTCAGAAAGAAATGTCAGGTTAAGATAAGATGGTCCTGGTGGTGTTTGGAGTGCTTTTTTTTTTTTTTTTGAGTTGGAGTCTCACTCTTGTCACCTAGGCTGGAGTGCAGTGGAACGTTCATGGCCACTGCAGCCTCGACCTGCAAGCTCAGGAGATCCTCCCTTCTCAGCTTTCCAAGTAGCTGGAACTACAGGCATTTGCCACCACGCCTGGCTAAGTTTTTGATTTATTGTAGAGATGAGGTCTTGCTAAGTTGCCCAGGATGGTCTCAAACCCCTGGGCTGAGGCAATCTTCTCGTCTCAGCCTCCCGAAGTGCTGGGATTACAGGTATGAGCCACTGCGTCTGGCATGGCCATTCAGGAAGGTAAGTCCTTCAAGTCTTTCTCCTAGAGAGGGGCCATTCCCACACTGCAGGATGCCAACTACAAACACAGCACGGGGAGGAACAGGCTGAGAAGTGGGTTTTCAAGCCAAGTCTCAGAAAGCACAAGTGGTTGCTGTAGCAATCTTTAAGAAATGAACAAACGGAGGAGGGGAATGACAGGAGAAAACACAATTAAAAATGAACAAATAAGCCGGGCTTGGTGACTCAGCATGTAATCCCACGCCTTTGGGAGGCTGAGTGAGTGGATTGCCTGAGCCCGTGGGTTCGAGACCCGCCTGGGCAACTTGGTGAGACCTCATCTCTACAATAAAAATAAAAAATGAGCCGGGCGTGGTAGCGCGCGCCTATAGTTCCAGCTACTTGGAAGGCTGAGGCGGAAGGATTGCCAGAGCCCAGCAGGTTGAGGCTGCGGTGGCCGGGAGCAGCCACTGCACTCCAGTCTGGGCGACGGAGTGAGATGCCAACTCAAAAAAAAAAAAAAAATGAACAAATAAATACAGCAACTCAGAATTTGGAGGCACTTAGCGCTATCAGTCCTGAATACTTATACATGAGTGGTAGAAACCACCCACATTTTAAATTCTAATAACTAATATTGATTACTGAGGATTATCCTGTACAAGGCACTAATCCATGTGCTTTTTTTGGTATCCACTCATTAAGTCCTCACAATCACCCTCTTCAAGTACTATCATTGTCTCCATGTTACAAAGAAGGAAACCGCCTAAGGTTACATGCTTGGACTAGGGTCTAAGCATGCAGGCCCCCAGGCCACAGTGTCCTCCAAGGTGATAATACCTGATGATTGACTCCTCAGGACATCTCTGCAGGACAAGTGGACAGAATTTATTCCTGTTTGTTGGACAAGCTCAGAGAAGTGGTCAGCCCAGGGTCACACAGCTGGCAAGTGCCTAACGTGGATGCTGGAGCTGGATCCCTTGCTTCTAAAGCAGGGGCTCTACTCATAGGCCCAATCTGCTTCCAGTGCTCAAACATGGTGGGGACAGAGACTGATGCCAGCAGGAGGGACTCCTAGCACAAGATAGGTACAGCTGATAATTCTGAGCTGTCTGAGAATCAAGCCCAGTAAATTAGAAATAGCAATAGGCCGGGCTCGGTGGCTCAGCCTGTAATCTCAGTACTTTGGGAGGCCGAGGCAAGTGGATTGCCTAAGCCCGCGGGTTCAAGACCAGCCTGGGCAACTTGGCAAGACCTCGTCTCTACATTAAATCAAAAATTAGCTGGGCATGATAGCACATGGCTATAGTTCCAGCTACTTGGAAGGCTGAGGTGGAAGGATCGCCAGAGCCCGACAGGTTGACACTGGGGTGACCGTGAGCATGCCACTGCACTCCAGCCTGGGCAACAGAGTGAGACAACTCAAAAAAAATAAAGGCCAGGTTCAGTGGCTCAGCCTGTAATCTCAGCACTTTGGGAGGCTGAGGTGAGTGGATTGCCTGAGCTCATGGGTTCAAGACCGGCCTGAGAAACTTGGTGAGCCCTCATCTCTACAATAAATCAAAAAAATTAGCTGGGTGTGGTGGTACGCGCCTGTAGTTCTGGCTACTTGGAAGGCTGAGGCAGAAGGATCGCTGGAGTCCAGCAGGTTGAGGCTGTGGTGGCTGGTAGCATGCCACTGCACACCAGCCTGGCTACAGAGGCTGGTTCAAAAAAAAAAAGAAAAAAGGATGATAATTATCGCAGCTAAAATCTGATGCTATGTGCCAGGTATTGTTCTATGGCTCAGTATGCATTAACTTTTAATCATCACAAGCACACATGACTCCCATTATCTAGATGAGGAAACTGAGGAACTCAGAGTTCCAGGGAACATGCTCAGAATGACGTTTAGCAAGATTTTCTGGCTCCCCAGGACAATCACAAAAGCTTAGACTTATGCTGGTGACACTTGTAAAAACAGACACATGCACACAGGTAGCCTTGCCTGGCAATAAATATTTTAATTTTTTGTTTCATTTTTAGGATGACAAATAATTTTCAAGTTTATTTCCTTTTGTTTAAATACAAAGCTAAATCACAAACAGGTACAACCAAGACATTTCTCACATCGACACACTCCCATCGGATCCTCCTCCATGTCGCTGACCACTGACCAGGCTAGCATGGGGTGGGGGGAAGACTTTCTTAGGTAGCACCGTCGTGAGGCCTGGGGTGGGGTTGGGGAGGGGGGAGGTCAAGGATGAGGACAGCTCTCATACCTGTTTTCATTCACATTCACCTGGGACCAGGGTGGGCAGGAGACCCCGGATCATGACTCCCAAGCCCCAATCCCTTCGACTGAAGGGACAGTGAGAATCAGTCCTGCTCAGGGAGGGAGAAGGCGGCCACCTACTCCTCCTGCTATGACAGTCAAGGTGAAAACTTTAGCCTTGTCCTTGACCCCTGGGGCCTGTTGGGCTCTGCCCACTGTCCCGCACGCCTTTCTCTGACACTGACAGCAGCAGCTGGGACCAGGGGCACTTTAATTCATGGCTGTGTCCCCACAGGAAGGACACTGGGTGGTATGACAGACAGAGAAGGCCTTGACAGCAGGTCTGGAACTTTCAACCCAGCAAGATGGGGGTGGGTGGGGACGGGATGGGGCATATTGGGTAAGTAATTTCTGGTCCCGCTACAAAATTTTGTTTTTGATTAGAATAGAGTACCATCTCAAATCTCTTCTACAAAAACAAAAAAAAACCCCCCCAAAAAAAACGCAGCCACTTCACTCACTTCAAGACCTATATACAGGTAAGTTGTTTTCTGTGGTTTTTTTCTTTTTTCTTTTTTAAATTTTTTTTTTTGGATTTTTGCTTTTTATTTTTTTATTTTTTTAAAATAAATTCAGTGTTCACATTTCTATAAAGAATTAACCCAGTTTCAGGAAACTCTGCCCTGGCAGGATAGGTAAGCAACACTCTCCCCGCCCACGTCTAGACTGATTACCCGCCCTGATGCTTCAGGGTGCCCAGAAAAGTGGCAGCCTGTGGAAGAGTCAATCTATGTCCGGCCCGTGCTCACGAGCCACAGGGTCAGTAAGCTTTCGAGAAAGCAGAGGGGAAGACTAGCTTACTGCAAACCTTTTTAAAAAATATTCATACACTTCAATGAGCGCCTGTCGAGACGTCAGGAGAACAAGAGCTTGGAAACATCCCGTCCAGGGTGCTGGGAGGCCGCGTCATCCTCACACCCCGTCCCTGGACATTGGGGTGTGGGGCAAAACTCCCGGCTCTTGGACTGGAGGCAGGAGACTCGCCCGGCTTCCTAGTTCATTTTGACTCGTTCCTCTAAAACCTGTGCTGAGTCTTGGACTGCATGCACGGAAGCACAAACGTTCGACTTGTATGCAAAAAAAGTACAAAAACAACTAGGATATAAAAGTTTTGGTAATATAAGGCCATCTGTTCAAGTCCACCTTGGAAACCTGTAACAGATATTTAAATACTACAGTGAAAAGGCATCTTAATATACTTTTTAAAAACATCTGAAGTAATCCACTAAGATTAAGTGTGTAAAAAAAAAAATTCAATTCCCTTTGAGGGCACTTTGTCCATTGAAGAAGGGAAGGCGGGCTGGGGAGAGTGAGGGGGCGCCAGCTAATGCTTCAGCCACGGGTAGGCCTCGATGGAAGCCTTGCTGCGGTCCCCATAGTCATACAGGAGCTCCTCCCCGGCCTTGATGTCTCGGGAGGCGATGAGGATGAGGTGAGGTACGCCGTCGATGTCGTGCAGTTTGGTTTGGCAGTTTCCACATTTGCTGTGATTAATCAGTCTTCCTAGGCGATTCGTCTCTCGAGTTGCATCCACACTGGAGGGGAGGGAGGACCAGAGAGGGTTACGTTGATAAAGAGGCCTTTTAATGCTTGCTCTGAACTCTGGGGGATGTCAACGTAAAGCCATGTGTTTGGGACAAACATGCAATTCTCAAAGCTACGTTTGAGCCTAGGGACCCCTGGTGGGAGTTGGGGTGGAACCCAACAGGCTCTTTATGGAGGCATAGGAGGAAACTAAAGTTTTGCAAAATAAATACATGGGTAAAAACCAACTCCACTGGCCACAGCCAGGAAGAAGCAATTAGCAATTTCCAGAGCTGCTCTGGCCAAATGCCCTAAGGAGAGGCCAGGCACGCTGCTAAACAGGTTTTCATGTGACTAATTCACTTCTGCTCCCCGATGGATGATATGGCATCCAGGGCACCTTCAGTTCCAAATATGAAAAATGAGAAGTAGCTGGGTACAGTGGCCCAAGCCTGTAATTCCAGCACTTTGGGAGGCTGAGGTAAGAGGATTGCCTGAGTCCAGGGGTTTGAGACTAGCCTGGGCAACTTGGTGAGACATCGTCTCTACAATATATCAAAAAGTTAGCCAGGCATGGTAGTACACGCCTGTAGTTCCGGCTACTTGGAAGGCTGAGGCAAAAGGATTGCCTGAGCCCAGCAGGTGAAGGCTGCGGTGGCTGTAAGCATGCCACTGCACTCCAGTCTGGGCTACAGATTGAAACCCTGAGGTAAAAAAAAAAAAGTGGCCAGGTGCAGTGGCTCAAGCCTGTAATCCCAGCACTTCGGGTGCCCAAGGCGAGAGGACTGCCTGAGAGCAGGGGTTCAAGACCAGCCTGGGCAATTTAGTGAGACCTCATCTCTACAATAAATCAAAAAATAAGCTGGGTGTGGTAGCACACACCTGTAGTTCCAGCTACTTGAAAGACTGAGGCGGAAGGTGGCCTCAGTCCATGGCAGGAGGATTGCTTGAGCCCTGGAGTTCAAGACCAGCCTGGGCAACATCCCAAGACGCTTTCTCAACAAAAATAAAAAAATTAGGCCAGGTGCAGTGGCTCTCTGTGAAAGCGAGAGGATTGCCTGAGCTCACAGATTCGAGACCAGCCTGGGAAACATGGCAATATCTTGTCTCTACAATAAATCAAAAAATTAATTAGCCAGGCATGGTGGCGCACCCCTGTAGTTCCAGCTACTTGGAAGACTGAGGCAAAAGGATCACCTGAGCCCAGCAGGTCAAGGCTGCGGTGGCCGGGAGCGTGCCCCTGCACTCCAGCCTGAGCAACAGAGTGAAACTCCAACTCAAAAAAATAAATACAAATAAAATAAAATAAATCAAAAAATTAGTTGGGCATGGTGGCATGCCCCTGTAGTTCTAGCTACTTGGAAGGCTGAGGCAGAAAGATCACCTGAGCCCCGAAGGTCGAGGCTGTGGTGGCAATGAGCATGCCACTGCACTCCAGCCTAGGCAATGGAGTGAGACTCTGACACACACACACACAAATTAGCTGGGTGTGGTGGCCTGTAGTCCCAGCTACTCAGAAGGCTGAGGGAGAAGGATCACTTGAGCTCAAGAGGTAGAAGCTGCAATGAGCCCAGATCATGCCACTCTACACCACCCTTGGTGACACAGTGAGACACCCAGCTTAAAAAAAAAAAAAAAAGGCCAGATTCGGTGGCTCAGCTTGTAATTCCAGCACTTTGGAAGGCCAAGGCGAGAGGATTTCCTGAGCCTGTGGGTTCGAGATTAGCCCAGGCAACTGGGCAAGACTTCGTCTCTACAACAAATCAAAAAAATTAGCCAGGCATGGTAGTGCACTCCTGTAATTTGGGCTACTTGGAAGGCTGAGGCGTAAGGATCTCAGGAGCCCAGCAGGTCGACACCGGGGTGGCCATGAGCGTGCCACTGCACTCCAGCCTGCGCGATGGAGTGAGACTCCAACTCAAAAAAAACAAAGGGAAGGGCAGTGAGAGCTGCAGCACAGCTTGAAGAAAGGCAACAGAACAGAAGAAGACAAGATGCCCAGCCATGAAAGAAAGTCAGGATTTCTGCGCTGCCCCTGGCCCTCTGACCTGTCCTCTCTGCTCAGAGCAGAGAAAAGCTACTCAAAGCAATGGTGGACTCACCAGTAGGTTTTGCTCAGATACTGAAAATAGTACATGTAGCAGCCTGTGGAGGGATCCTGTGCATACAGAGCCTCCCGCTTCTTGGCATCGGTGATCTCGATGAGGTCCCCATGGTATTCCACCACAAAGTCGCCCCGGGAGAACTGCTTGGTAGCGATCACTCCCCTGCCTTTGCCATCGATGAGGTCAATCTGTCGGGAGGTGATGAAGCAGTGTTGGTTCCTAATAGTTCCAGCTGGCAGCATGCTTGGCTTCTGAGAGCTGGGGGCTTATCCCACTCCCGATAGCTCTCCTGAGGTAGGTATGCCATACAATTCATTCATTGCCCATGTATACGTGTTTACGGGTTTTATGAAATGGATGCAGCTGTGCCTAGAATCCAGCTCTACAACGCTGTTATCACCCTACAAATTTGGCTCCCTTGTGCCTACTGCAAAGCATTGCTACATCAGAGCCTTATGAGAGATTTGCCAAGGTGGCTATTGCCCATTTTGCAGATGAGGAAACTGAGGCTTAAAGAAGAAGAGTTACAAATCTAAGGCCACACAGCTAGGTAGTGGTGTGGCAGGGACTCAAATCTACACACTGGGCCCCTCTGCTTAGCGCTGTATTCTGTGCCTTTATTGGTAAAAAGCTGGACAGTGTTCTGGGTCTCACCTTCATTCCGTAATGTACGCTCTTGTGCATCTCCTCATTCTATGCTACATGGAGTGGGAAGAACTGCTTGAGGGGCTCACAACTAAGTGTGTGTCCCCCAGAGAAGGCAGAAGTGGAAGCTTCTGACCTGAGTCCTAGTCCAGACCCAGCTGGCCACCACTGTCGAGTTATTCCCCTCTCGCCCAAACCAAGTGTGTTTGGAATATACAAAAAAGGCTGGGTGCAGTGACTCAAGCCTGTAATCCCAGCACTTTGGGAGGCTGAGGCAAGAGGACTGCCTGAGCTCAGGGGTTTGAGACCAGCCCAGACAACTTGATGAGACCTTGTCTCCTACTGTAGACAGAGTGAGACTCCAACTCAAAAGAAACAAAGTTTCCCCAGGCTAAGTAAATGAAGCCAGACACAAGTAGCTATGTACTATACGACTCCATGTATATGAACTTTCCAGAAGAGGCAAATTCAGAGAGACAGAAAGCCCATTAGTGGATGCCAGGGGCTGGGGAGTGATTGGTAATGGGTACAGGGTTTCTGTTTGCGAGGGGGACAGGGATGATGGTTGCACAGCAATGGGAACATATGAAATGTCACTGAACAGTGTACTTCAAAATGGTCTCATAAGACATTTCCTAAACTAGGTTTAGTTGTTGGCTCTCTGACAACCTAACAGAGTCTGACTAGTCACAGTGACCATCAGAGCGCTAAAGCCACATGGCAGCCACCGTCAACCACGATGCAGTGGGCAGGGTTATCCCTTACCTTCATGCCTTCTTCCTTCCCACTTTCAATCAGTTCGTCTATTCTTTTCCTTTCTTCAGACTGGGGGGAAGAGACACAAAACAACAGCATCAGCACTGTCTCCCAGTCCTGCTCTGGGTAGTTCCGTGACCTTGAACTCTGGCCGCTTGGGCCACCCCCACAGGGTCACAGTTGGCCTCGATGATATCAGTCCTCAATGATGCCAAAGTCCACAGCAGCCCTCCTTTTCTCGCCAGCCAACTGCTGTGAACAATCTATCATCTGAGGTTTGACTGGATCAGCAGGGAAACAGTGGTGGCCCAGGGGCAGAAGGGGGCTTGTAGATATGCTCTGTCTGGCCCATGCAGCATTTTTAAAAATGCCCAAAGTTCATGACCCACCTGGGCAACTTGGCGAGGCCTCATCTCTACAATAGATCAAAATGAGCTGGGCATGGTAGCGCGCGCCTGTAGTTCCAGCTACTTGGAAGGCTGAGGCGGAAGGATAGCCGGAGCCCAGCAGGTTGAGGCTGCGGTGGCCAGAAGCGGCCACTGCACTCCAGTCTGGGCGAGAGTGAGACTCCAACTCAAAAAAACCCCAAAAAAACAAACAAATAAAACCCCCAAAAAACCCAAACTGAGCTAGGCAGAGTGGTGCATACCTGTAATCGTAGCGCTTTGGGAGGCCAAGGTGGGAGGATGGCTCAAAGACCAGCCTAGGCAACATAGTGGGACCCCTTCTCAAAAAAAAAAAAAATCCAAATCACCAACATCTGAAAATCAGGACTCAGTTGGGTACAGTGACTCACACCTTGTAATCCCACGCACTCTGGGAGGTGGAAGCGAGAAACTGCCTGAGCCCAGGGATTCGAGACCATACCTGAGCAACACGGTGACACCTCATCTCTACAATAAGTCAAAAAATTAGCCGGGCATGTGTGCCTGTGTGTCCAGCTACTTGGAAGGCTGAGGCAGAAGAATCGCCTGAGCCCAGCAGATCGAGGCTGTGGTGGCCGTGAGTATGCCACTACAGTCCAGCCTAGGCAACAGAGTGAGACTCCAACTCAAAATAAATGAATGAGTAAATAAATAGGTTAGATAAAAATAAAAATCAGGGCTCTGACTTCACATATAATCAGCTACAGCAGCCGGGCTCAGTGGCTCAGCCTGTAATCCTGCGCCTTGGGAGGCTGAGGTGAGTAGATTGCCTGAGCCCACGGGTTCAAGACCCGCCTGGGCAACTTAGTGAGACCTCATCTCTATAATAAATAAAAAAAATTAGCCGGACGTGGTAGCACGCGCCTCTAGTTCCAGCTACTTGGAAGGCTGAGGTGGAAGGATCTCTGGAGCCCAGAAGGTCGAGGCTGCGGTGGCCTGGAGTGGCCACTGCACTCCAGTCTGGGTGACAGAGTGAGACTCCAACTCAAAAAAAAAAAAAAAAAAATCAGCTACAGCAGATCAGTGGTTGTGCCCTTTGGACAGGACACGTCTGATGGCGCCTGTAGACGTCTCCCTAGGACCTCTGGGGTTCGTCGCCACAGAATCCCCCACCATGGATGAGAAGGGGGCCTCCCACCCAGAGGATCAACACAGCCCTAAAAGGAGAAGCCAGAAGAGTGAACCCTCCCAGGCTCACCTGCTAAAGGGGACCCCTCCTGCTCCTCCCCCCATCCTTCCCTACCCCTGGATCCCACTGCTTTATCATAGCACAAACACTAGGAAACAAAAGGGAACTGTACAAAGACCAGAAGCCCCAAACCAGCGTGACTTGCCAGCACGAACCTCTACCTCCAAACCAGATGGCATATGTGGGAAGCGACCACCAACTGCCGGGCTCAGGCCTCCCCCACACGCAGAGGCCCAAACCTGCAGCCTCTGCAGTCTCAGTCCACACCTCCATGTGCCAGGTCCCACCTCATGTGCTGGAGACACTGGCGAACAAGCAACCTCAAGTACAATCCTAAATCCAGCCACCTCCTCCTCCTCACTCCCACTGAGGCCCTCCAGTTGAGCCATAGCCACCTCCCTGGTCTCCTGGCTGCCACACTGACCCCACACACTTGTCTCTCCAGCAGCTGGAGGGCTCTTTTCCAAAAGTAAATAAGATTGTGCCATATCCCTGCTTAAAACCTTTCAGTAAGTTTGCTTAGTAGTAATATACCAAACAGTACCAATATTAGTACTATGACTTTCACATATCAATATTAACCTTGAACATAAATGGATTAAATGTTCCACTTAAAAGCTATAGCTTGGTAAAATAGATTAAAAAAAACATGACCCAGCTGGGCTTGGTGGCTCAGCCTGTAATCCCAGCACTTTGGGAGGCCAAAGTGAGTGGCCTGCCTGAGCCTGCAGGTTCAAGACCCACCTGGGCAGCGAGACCTCATCTCTACAATAAATCAAAAAATTAACTGGGCATGGTGGCACATGCCTGTAGTTCCAGCGACGTGGAGGGTTGAGGCAGACAGAAGGATCACCTGAGCCCAGCAGGTCAAGGCTGTGATGGCCAGCAGCATGCCACTGTCCTCCAGCCTGGGTGACAGAGTGAGACTCCAACTCAAAAAAAAAAAAAAAAATCTTGTGTGATGGTGAGGGTTGAGCTTCTATTGAACTTGTCATCAAATAGTGACCATAGTACCCCACAGATAATTTTTCAACCCCCACAGCTTCTCTATAAAATTAAAATTATGCCCAAAATAAAAAGTTTATTGAAAGAAAAACAAAAGAGTTCCAGTAGCTTCTCACTGCTACTAGATAAAATCCAAACTTTTTCCAATGATGTGTGAGGTTCTGCAGGCTCCAGGCTCCGCCTCCTAACCCTCATCTACCACCCTCATTCTGTTCCCACATTCCAGCCACATCTGCTGGCTCTTTCAAAAAGGCAAGCTTGGCCAAATATGGTGGCTCATGCCTGTAATCTCAACACTTTGGGAGTCTGAGGCAAGAGGATTGCTTGAGCCCAGGAATTCAAGATCAGCCTAGGCAACATAGTGAGACTGTGTTTCTGAAAAACAAAAAACAAAAACAAACAAACAAAAAAACCAAGAGGGCAAGCTTGTTCCTGCCTCAGGACCTTTGCACTTGCTGTCTCCCCACCTGGGGTGTACTTTCTCTGATCTATTTGCCTGGCTTGCTTCCTCCCTTCCTTCAGTGCTCTGCTCAAAAGTCACTTAATCAGATAAACTTTTCTGATTACCATGACCGTCATGGCTAAAGTAGCCTTAGCCTAGTCATTCTATTCAACTCTTTCATTTTATTAAATTGTCGAAGTGCTGTTTAAAATTATCTTGCTACTTTAGTTGTATTTTCTTTTCTTTCTTTCTTTTAGACAGGGTTCTGTTCTGTTGCCCAGGCTGCTGGAGTACAGTGGTGCAATCATAGCTCACTGTAACCTAGAACTCCTGGACTCAAGAGATCTGCCTGCCTCAGTCTCCCAAGTGCTGGGGTTACAGCCATCAGCCACCCCACCCAGACTGGTATATATACACACACATATATATATATTTTTTAGTTGGAGTCTCACTCTGTCACCCAGGCTGGAATGCAGTGGCATGCTCACAGCCACCGCAGCCTTGACCTGCTGGGCTCAGGCAATCCTTCCACTTCAACCTTCTAAGTAGCTGGAACCATAGGCATGTGCCACCACACCCAGATAATTTTTTGATTTATTGTAGAGATGAGGTCTCGCCAAGTTGCCCAGGCTAGTCTCAAATCCCTGGGCTCAGGCAATCCTCTCGCCTCCACCTCTCAAAGTGCTGGGATTACAAACATGAGTCACCAAGCCAGGCTTTTAAAAAAATTATTAACTGGGCCAGGCTCAGTGGCTCAGCCTGTAATCCTGTGCCTTGGGAGGCCGAGGTGAGTGAATTGCCTGAGCCTGTGGTCTCGAGACCCACCTGAGCAACTTGGCAAGACCTCATCTCTAGAATAAAAAAAGAAAAAAAATTAGCCGGGCATGGTAGCGCACGCCTGTAGTTCCAGCTACTTGGAAGGCTGAGGCGGAAGATTGCCGGAACCCAGCGGGTGGAGGCTGCGGTGGCCAGCAGCGGCCACTGCACTCCAGTCTGGGTGACAGAGTGAGACTCCAAATCAAAAAAAAAAAAAATTATTGATCACTCTCACTTGAATATAACTTCTATGAGTACGGGGGCCTGATCTACTTTACTGTGGAGTCTTCTGGCCTAGAACAGTGGCACACAGTAGGCCCCCAAAACATCACCACCGCCGGATGTGATGGCTCATGCTTGTAATCTCAGCACTTTGGGAGGCCAAAGCAAGAGAATTGCTTGAGCCCAGAAGTTCGAGGCCAGCTAGACAACATAGCAAGCCTTTTCATCTCCACCAAAAAAAAAAAAAAATCAAAAAATATGCCGGGCGTGGTGGCACATGCCCATAATCCCAGCTTCTAAGGAAGCAGAAGGATCACGTGAGCCCAGGAGGTCAAGGCTGCTGGTAAACTGTGATTGTGCCACCGCACTCCAGCCTGGGTGCAAGAGTAAGACCCCAATTCAAAACAAAAAATAAAAATCACCACTATCACCACACATAACCACTTTGCTGCATGATTAATTTGTCACAGGCATGCAGAGAGCAGTCAGAAATATAGAGGAACATACACTGAAAACAGGAGTGGGGGGTGGGGAGAAAAAAAAAGAACGGCATTAGTCGTGGAGAATTGGGTCGGAGGATGGGGACGTTCCTGCTGGGACTGAACATGGCACAGAGGAGATGAGCTGAGGAAAGCTGGGCCCCCTCCAGATGCCCTGAATGCAGAGCCAGGGAGGCCAAGTCTCCTGAGGGCCAGGAGTCTGGGGTATGCAAACACCCAGCCCGGTTTTCCTGGGAATTCTGGCAGCAGCCCACAGCGGGCAGATGGAATGGGAGAGATGTGGGTCGGAACTGGGGTGGGAGGAAGGAGAGGACCTTCCTGAGGAGGAGCTAGCAGGCTGCTTTACACGTCACCCCCAGGCCTGAGCTGGGATGAAGAAGCCAGGGCCCTGCCAACAGGCACAGTCCCTGTCCCAGTGCTGGCTGCCACTCCCCTTGCAGCCAGGCGAGCCAGCCAAGGGCCCCACAGTGAAGCGCCCCACATTCAGGGCGTTTCTCCAAGGCCCACCTTGTGTGCAAACCCTGTGACCCAGATTCCACCCTGCTGCCCAGGAGCTGCATGCTGGACCTAGGCCCTGCTCACCGCAGTCTTCGACTCAATGAGGTGTCTGCGAGGCCCTGCCTTTCAGTTTCACTCCTGACTACCTGGCCAAGAATAGCCTCTCTCATGCCGCACCCACCTGGACCCCCAGCCTGGACCCAGAAGGGCAGTCAGGCCAGACTGACCCCACCCCTCAGATGAGGCCTGCCACCCCGCCTTTGGGCATTCACTGCACGGTCAGGAGAACACATGGTCAGGCTGGCTCCAGCCTCATCATCCTGGCCAGCAACAGCTCGCATGTTCACTCAGCAGAGCCAACACAAACAGCCAGGGGCACAGCACAGCTCTGCTCACCACGGCTCTCCGTCCAGCAGGAACAGGGAGCTTCATTGTGCCTGCAGACCTCGCTCGGGGGAGGTGAATGGGTCGTCCCCCCAGGCAGCTGCTGCAAGCTGGAGACCTGCAGCCCTCCCTCCTCCTGGCAGCCAGGCTCTTGCTTCTCATGAACCAGCATACTCAGCTGCCCCACCCCCAAGCCCACAGCAGCCCCCGTGCACTCTCAGCAGACGTTCCCTGTGTGGGCACACTGCGGCTCCAACTCCAGTTGGGAGAGGACTTGGGCTCTGTGGCCTGGCACCGCCTCGCCCTCTGCAGTGCTGTCTTTAAGAGTGACCTAGCACAGCCTCCCACCGCCGGCGAATGTTTTATAACAGCTCATACTTGGCTGAAAAACATTACCATTTTCAGGAAATAAAGCCAAAGCAGCTCTCTGAGGGGAAAAAATGAACCCCTTTTTTGTTTTTTTAATGAAGCGTCTTTGAATACAAGAAAAAGAGAGAAAGAACACTAGACCACTGTATATCTGCATATTTAACATAAAAAGTCCCGAAGAGTCTATGTGAGGATTGAAATGCTAAACCCACAAAGCAGGGATCTCACCTCTCTGTAACAGGCAAGCCTGGAGGTGACCGTGGGGATATGGGAGAGTGGAGGGCTGCCCCAGATGCCCCTGAGTGGGAAGGTGGAGGGACCTGGCCACGCCTTGGGTTTCCTTAACAGAAAGGCAATAACCACACCCCACTGCATCAAATATTGACTGAGTGCAGCATAGCTTAGCCCTCTGTAAACACAGTGGTGGAGGCCTGCCCAGGCCAGCTGGTGCTGATCCCCATTCTGCATGTTACCTAGCGATGGCAGTGGGGTGGAAAAGAGCAGGGAAGGGTCTTGGGAGGTGACAACACTGGGAAGCAACAGTGATGACAGGAACAGTTCACTGGTGCTTACTGTATGCCAGGCATGCACCGAAGGATTCCTCACCCACGAACACATTAAACCTCACAACAGCCCCGCCAGGTACTGCTTTATCATGCCATTTTACAGACTGGAGTGCTAGGGCACAGAACAGATGAGTGACTGGCCTGAGGTTATAAAACCAGCACATGGCTCCCTTGCTCTTTACTGCCCTGAGTCACAACAGGGAAACTTCCAGAAGACAGACAAACCTCTGAAAGAACAGGAAGCCTTTCCCATGGTCTTAGACTCCACATGGCCCCGCCAACGAGTCCTAGAAAATCCACCTTCATGGCAGTGCCTGGCTTTCCACACCACATGCTACAAGTCACAAAGTTTCTTCACACAAGTGTCTGAACCAAGCCTCACAGTGACCCCATCAGAAAGGCAGAATACGCTTTGTGGTGATTATTGATGGACCGAGCAGAAAACCAGGGCCAGAGAGGCCAAGAGACGTCGCTCCAAGAGGACACAAACAAGGCTCAGGACACACATGCCAAGCAAAGCCCACTGGGCCACCCTGTCCCCTCACAAGCTGGAATTAAACCCACGTGACCCTACCTGTAGTTCAGTTTTGCTCTTCCTGGAGCTCCTCCGGACAGGGTAGAAATCTGTGAGTTTGCGATTATGTTGTGTTTTTCCTTGAGCTCTGGGTAAGAAGAGGAGAGAATAAATGTTAGAAGTGAAAACCACGCTCACACAGAAGAGACACACAACTCCCTGGGAGGCGGCTCCTTAGAAAGGATGCTACTTAAATATCTCTGTCCACTGGAGCCTGATAACCACTCGGCTCACTAGCCTATGATGGTCTCAGGGAGAGTTCCAAAGACAGGCTGCTTGTTCTCGGGGAGGGGGCAGGAACGGAGGGCAGTTCTTGACCTCTGGACCCATGCCACACTGAGATGCTGACAGATAACAGCCTCACTGGTGAGGACTCAAGGAATCCGAGTCTCTGATGTGAGCGGGGCTGACAAGTGGGCCACTTAACCCCTGTGGGCACCTGAACAGGCTTGACTGGGGTCAGGAGAACCCATTGCTTTGAGTCAGGAAGAGGACTTGGCGGGCACTTACTTTTTCCGAGGGGCTTGTCTGCCCTTGATGGGCTTTTTCAGGGCTTGCTTGGCGATGGCTCCATTGGTGGAATCACAAGATGAGGCTGGAGTTTTTGGAAGTTCTGCTGCTTCAGATTTTTGGTTTGGAAAAGGTGCCAGGGGACCTCTCCTGGTGTCTTTGATCTTCTGCTCCTCAGACTTCATGGTGCTCCGTATTGTGTTCCCAGCATTTCTTTTCTCTGTAGACGAGGGAAGGAGAGGACAGGGGTTTATGTTATACTCTGTCTCCCAACCACTAGACCATCAGCTGCTTTCCAAGACTGGTTTTGAGAACAGAGGATTGTTGAGTGTCAAAGGAGGGCCCCTGGCCTACTAAGAACTATGTCCACTCCTGGCTATCCCAGCTAACTTCAGTTGTATTTTTCGACCAAGACACTGGACAGAGGTTTTAGGCTTCCACATCCTAACGTGGGAGAGTCCGAGAAGCGGAAGCATACCAGATAGTGACACTGGCAAGAGTGCCTGATCAATAGCTTTCAGGAATTAGGCTGCAGACCTAAGATCAAAAGCTCGGTTCCTAAAGACTGGGCTGGCAGTGGAGGACAGGAGTAAAGTGACAAAAGGACTCTTTCCCCAAGACCCACTTGGCATGCTCTATTTCAGACTTTAAAAATTGAAAAATTTGAGGCAACCCCTTCAGGTCCCCTCCTACCGGGAGAGCTTTTCTGTCCTCTCAAATCCTGCTTTCTCAAAAAATAAATACATAAATAAATAGCTGGGCTCGGTGGCTCAGTCTGTTATCTCGCGCCTTTGGAAGGCTGAGGTGAGTGGATTGCCTGAGCCCGTGGGTTCAAGACCCACCTGGGCAACTTGGCGAGACCTCATCTCTACAATAAATCAAAAATTAGCTGGGCGTGGTAGCGCGTGCCTGTAATTCCGGCTACTCGGAAGGCTGAGGCGGAAGGATTGCTGGAGCCCAGGGGGTCGAGGCTGCGGTGGCCGGGAACGGCCACTGCACTCCAGTCTGGGCGACGGAGTGAGATTTCAACTCAAAAAAAAAAAATTAAATAAATAAATAAAATAAATAAAAAAATTCTGCTGAGGCAGGAGGATTGCTTGAGCCTAGGAGTTCAAGACCAGCCTGGGTAATGTACCAAGAATCCAACTAAAAAAAAAAAAAGAAGCCGGGCTTGGTGGCTCAGCCTGTAATCCGCGCTTTGGGAGGCTG